AGAAAAAAAAACAAATGTTGAACTAAATTATTCATCGAAATTAAATATTATATTTGTATCGTATACAATATTATAGTTTTCTGGAAAAGATAGTAAATTTCTTTATATTAATAATTAAGTATTCATTGAAATATTGTAAAGTTTTCTATAACAAAATTTTATATCGCAACACCAATAAGTACTCTCTAGTGTCTATTACTCATTTAAAACCAAGCATTATTTATTTTTTACAACAAATTTTTGATATGCATTTCAAATTGCATATAAAAGTTAGAATTGCATTTTTTAACTATATTCATAATTGACACTGTGTACTAGATAAATATTTACGATTGAAATATGGATTTTTTGCTCAATTTCTATGAACATCATCTGCGGTAAATTAATTATCTCCGGATGTGCTGATCGGATCAGTATTATTTTTTTATTACACTCATATTGAAGTAAACTTTGTAATGATTAAACTTTTTTTTTGTTTTGGCAATTTTCTTAACAATAACAACCCTTAAATATTTACAAAGTTTTCTTTCTTTCTAGCAAAAAAGTCATAAAAACCAAAATATTACTCGAATACATTTATTCGTAGACCGTTTTATTTAGTTTAGGATTAGCTGCTTTATTAAAAATAGTACTCAAACGTCCAGAAAAGTTACACTTTAAAATCTTCTCTATGCTGCTATCAGTTTTCCGTATATTTAACAAATTCAAAAAATATTGTTACTTATCAGTCGAATAAAGGGCAATAGAAAATTTACTTTATACGTACACAACAAATAATCTATGGTGTCGAGATTCATTTTCTCTTAAACACAGTCAAAACTTAATCTATGCATTTAGGTGATTGCTATGAAATTGCATTGCGTGAAATTAATTTCGAAAATAAATTCACATAGAAAAACAATTGTTCGAAATGAAACATGATCTTCATCTCAATATAAACAAAGCATAGTAATTGAATATTTGCCCCATGAGTAGAAAACCTCACTCTCACCATCGCGCGGAGCTCGGCAGCAAAAGCCATGAACATATTTTACTAGATTTTTTTTATTTGTTTTACATTTTATATAATCGTGTCAGCAGTTTTTATAGTACAATCACATTATATGAGACTAATTCATTAAAAAATACATTTAAAATACAACATATTTAACTGAACACTTTATCGAAACGTAAATACAGACATCTATATTCACCAAATGTTTTTGTTTTCTATTTTATATTATATACTAGTTTTAGTTATCACAATTTAAATATGAACAAAATGCAATCAGCAATTAAATAAATACAAAATGAAAATTTAAAGTAATGATATTTTCACAATTACAATAAGTATAGAAATGTAATTAATATTTAAAAAAAAAATAACTGTGTTAAAACCTAAGAAGAACTTCAAATTCACTTATATATCAAGCTTATAATAATTATCATAATTTATTTATCTAAATTTTAAAAAAATATTTTATTTTATGTAAAGGAAGAAACATATTCTAATTTCATATTATACGAAAAGCACTACCAGTTTAAAGATAAAAGTTGAAACAAAGTATCGAATTTATATCGTCCGATTTTGATAAATTTTAGATTAGAACGGGACCTAAAGGTCCGCGGGTGAAGGTTTACAACCGATGTCTCAAAAGCAAGTTGAATCGCATTTATATTACAGCTTGACAACCAGTCGCCAAAAGAAGATTTGGGGTGTGTCGCCATTTGTTGCAATATTTGTCACTATGAAAAATGATTGAGAATTCCGATTGTATAAATAATTTTTAACTACAATTTTGATAATGATTGGAAAATCTTGAAATATGCTAATAATGTCAAACTTTTAATCGTGCACCATGTTGGCTTGTACAGAAGTGTCACTTCAGAGAAAAATATGTTCTCGTAGTTTATATTTATATTGTTCTGTATTTAAATAAATATATTTTAATCCCTTTTATAAAAATGAATTCTACTTATATCGGCATCACCGTTGCGTCGAATTGGTATCATTTTAATTAATTTTTTAACAATGATAAGTTATATGAGTGGGGGTTAAACACAGAACAATTGATTTACTCTGTTTTATGGTTTTCCGCGTCGAAATTCATCACGCTCTTCAAAGATCTGACCATTTAATTATAATATACATGTTTTAAACTTTAATATTGTTATTATATATTTTGGTGAAAACATGTTTGGCATTTAGTTAAATATATATATATATATATATATGTGTGTGTGTGTGTGTGTGTGTATTAGATATTTTTGTTCGACGTTGAGACATATCTTGAATAATGATTTACAGCCAGTCTTCGAAATAAAGGAACAAATAAATACAAATATTTATTTATAGTATACGTTTCGACACGGATTGTGTGTTATCATTTAGCAAATTCTTTGTTAACAGTATCTAAAAAAATATGTACACAGTTTTTTAAAAAATAAACATATATTCATATTTAAAATAATTAAAAGATATACATACCACATCAGAAAAAAAACATTAATTTAAATTGTAATCGTCCAAAAAATCGAAATTGAAAATTTTTACATTTCTCGACGTTATGAAGGTTTCTGAACATTTTCGCATACCACAGAAAAAATTTATGTGTGTGTGTGTATGTGTATGTATGTATGTATGACTACAATTTTTTGTCCACGTGTTTGGGCGCACGGATTAACCGATTTGAATGGTTCATCCGCCGATTCCTATTGATAGGGAGATGTGCTGTTTAGTTTTTGACAAAGGCAAGTTTAGCCGTTTTGGAGATACGGAGCAAAGATTGCAGAAAATAGAAGTCGAGGTTTTGCGAGATTGGAGCATCCGATTTGAATGATCCAAATAACATTCAATTCGTAATCACAAGGAAAAGGGGTGATTAGTTTTTGGCAACGGCAGGTCCAGCGGTTTCGAAGATACAGAGCTAAATGTGAAAAAAATTGCAGTTAATGAGAGAACTAAGCTTTCGATTTGGAAGATTTAAAGAACTTTCTGCTTGTTTTAACAAAATATATGATTTTGAAAAAAAAAAAAATTGTTTCATTTTTTTTTCTATCAAAAATAATTTAGATTTTATTTTTAATTCTGACTAAAGTTCTAATATACTTCAAACAAATAATTTCAGCTTTGCAATTCAGTTCATATAATTATAAATATTAAACAATGTTACAGTAATTATAATAATCTTTTCTATATTCTATTCTATATTCAATATTCCTCGAACATTTCGTTACAGTACGGGAAGTTCCAGCAATTTGCCTCAAGGTACAATGCCATACACCCCACTAGTTTCATATTTTTATTTTATATGTAACTAGCCGACCCGACAGACTTCGTCCTGTCAAAAAAATTTGTAATGTGGCGGTGTTTTGTTCCTACTTTTTTTCTATTCTTTGCAAAAAATTATCCTGAACAGAACCGTCACCCTGGTAATAATTCGGTGTGAATTAAAAATAATTAAATAAAACACTATATGCATTTAAAAGTAAGTATTTTTAATCATGTAAATCATAATTCAAAAATCAGTTAAATTTTTATTGTAGTGCTTTGTGATAAACAATTTTTTTTTGTTTGATTACCTGGCGCATAGACAAACAAATCTGATGGTTTTCCAATACGGGAACAGACAGAATACAATTTTCCATGTGAGAAACATGGGTTTTCCAAATTAATACGACAAACACTTAAAGATACCATAAACGCACTGGAAACTGTAGTCTACCCACTGTAGTATAATCTCAAATGGCACATCAGTCGGAATCATTGGGATGCACGGTGCGAGAACATCTTCTGCTTTATACTATCCCTTCAATATAGTTGCTTCCATCATGTTGTTTGGTAGTTTTTTATCGCTAACCTTGTGCCGTTGCAAAAGCGCGGTTGGTCGATATTTCGCAACGTTATAATTGCCGATCCAACCTTTAATTGAACATTGTGAGGTGACAATCCTAACAAATCCAGCGAGTTTATAAACTCCGGTGGATCAACTTGATTAGTTGCCGAATCAACTGATTCGCCTGTAATTTGTTCTTGAATTTTGAAATGTAATTAATTTACATCAATGTTTTTGGCTATGTTTATATAAATATATTCAAAATTAGATTATCAAAAACTACACAAAATGTCATGACATAGATCATTTTTTTTTTCAAATTGCGTTGCCTACTCGATTAAAGAAGAAAAGGGCTGTTTTTAGGGTTTTCCCGGCAATTATTCGTTTTTTTCTCGACGTAACAACCATCCTTGGACTTCAACGAACATTTTATAAAAAGAATTGGCCAAATTGGTCCAGGCGTTGTTGAGTTATGCGCTTACCAACACATTTTGCGATCCATTTTTATATATAAGATGTATGATGGGTTTTTCTATATGTATAACTTAATAATATGTTTTTTTTCCTGATGTGGTATGTATATCTTTTAATTATTTTAAATATGATATTAATTGTTTTATTACAAATATATTAATTGTTTATTTTTTACAAAACTGTAAATATTTTTTAGATACTGTTAACAAAGAATTTTCTGAATGATGACACACAATCCGTGTAGAAAGGTATATTAAAAATAAATATTTGTATTTATTTGTTTTTTTATTTCGACGACTGGCTGAAAATCATTATTCAAGATATATATATATATATATATATATATATATATGTATATATATATGTATATATATATATATATATATATATATATATTGTTTCCATATCATTTATTTAAATCAATTGGGTTTATCATTTCTATATTCATATAGTTCTTGTCTAAAATTAAATTAAATTTAAGGTGAAAATACGTGCTACAATTAATGGCGCCCTTATAAAGTGAGGATGCAATTTAAAATGATGTAAAGGAAAAGCGGCCGTATTTGCGACGTATTTAATCTTTGTAGCCATTTATTTTTGTAACTTTAGTAATGTCATCTATCTATTATAATTACCACCAATCATCTATAATTACCATCTATTATAATTACCAATTTATTCAATACATTGACTTTGAAATATGTGTGAAAAATAATAAATTAAGTCGGCACCGTCAACACTCCGTTTATTGCGAATCCATTCTCGAAGAGCCGAAGTCGGATTATGCGCTTCAATGCTCCAGGTGACAGATTAAAGTGCGGGGGGGACAGCTAGGCGGCGCCCTGTGCTGGTGGGTGTGGGAACGCGTTTGTGAACGAAAGCTGGAACCGGCTTGTTGGGGACGTCTCGGAGATTGTAATTACTGGATGAAGAGATTGCTCCATGGAGGAACGTGTCTTCTTGTCTCTGTGTGTGGATTTAGTATTGCGTTCGCGCGTCACTGAAATATTGAGCATTATATTAAATGTAGAGTCCTCCAGAAGTTGAAACCGCACCCTGTAGGGAAGGCACTCATCACTCCGATGAAAAATACCGACCGACCGAAATGAATTATTAGACCGACCGACAAAATATAATTACGAAAGCGCCCGGTTCGGAATTTCTGTTACAAGAAACTGTTTCAAGTGGTTTTATTCCGTTTGACATTTGTCGCAAAGGAAATGCCTGGAATATGTACGGTATTTGTCGTTTTAATTATATGAGATTCGACTCTCTATAGTCTTTTTGGATTTTGCCGGAATATAATCAAAACGACTTTTTGTCATATTATGTTCGTATTTCATCATCAGATGAAAGCAAGAACGCAGCACCGTTCGAATGAAGAACGTTACCCCAATGATAATGTCCCTTTCCGTAATTTGTTTTTCTAACGCCCTCTGTCTTAGAAAATGCATGGTGTAAAATTAGTCATGGAAATTTTTGGCATTTTAAACAGTGATCAATCATTATTATTTAATATATTTAGAGCAGTTCAGGTCAGAAAGTTCCAATTTGACTTTGAGCAATTATGTTTGAAAACCAAATAAATTAGATCACAACAAACAATACATATCACACAACTATCTGACCATTTTCAGTGAAACTCTCAGCTAATTCATTATTATAGAAGCTATATTATTTTTCAAAAAATTATCACTTGGCCGATTTTATCCAATATGCGGGTCAGTTGGCAAACAGGTGAAATGTTAGTTTTTACTTTCAAAAGGATTTTACAAAATAATAACTACAATATTCAACCAATGCAAAATATAAAATTCGTTTGCGTACTTTTTACACTGTATATACCAGAGGTGGGGAACCTTTTTGCCGTTAGAGGCCGCACTTAAATTAGGCAGCAATAAAAGAGGCCGCATAAGCTGATTGACCTAAAAAAGTGACTTTTGTGAAAGTATTATAATTTTTTCATAGTTTTAACAATTTATTGCATTATATAGAAAAAAGTAAATAAAATACTTAAAAATTTTAAATATTTTATAAATTAAATTTTAAATGAATTATAAATATTTTAGTTCTTTTTAATTTCATTTAAACATTAATTTTTTATATAAAAATGATATTAAAGTGTTTTGATTTGAAATTAATTTTCATTTTCTTATTGTTACATAATTATTTGAAATAAGAAATTATATATTCTTCTTATAACATTGAATTCACAAGAATTTTATTTTGCAAACTAAGATGTTAATGTTTAATTTAGAGAATTTCGGGCTTTGGAAAAGCCAGATTAAATTCATTTGTAAACTTTCGGCATGAATATTCCTTTTGTCATTAAGGACAATAGTTGTTATAATAAAAAATAGGATTAATGCATTAAACGCAACGTTACCTATTGCCAAAAGAAATATACCTCGAAATATGAAAAAAAAATCGAAATATGAAAAAAAAGGTTTCTTAAATTCAATTTTCATCATTTTTCAAAACTTTTTATAAAATGTAATTTTCAGTACGGAAAGTTTCAGTAACTTGCCACTAGACACCAATTTTTAAGAATATATTTTTGTGTTTTATGAAAAAAGGTATAGTTTTGTGTCATTTTATAACTATGATCTCATAAAATTGCCAATATATGACTGTTTTTGGTGGGATTTTTGTACAATAGTTGTTTGAAAGTAACTCTGCTATTTTGTACTAGACGGCAAGGGGCCGCACGAGAACCTCCCGGAGGCCGCATGCGGCCTCGAGGCCGCAGGTTCCCCACCTATGGTATATACCCTTATACTGTTTTTTTGGCAAAATTTTTAATTTCATTAATTTCTTTTATTTCTTTCATGTTAAATTGTTTTTTTAACTGAATTTACATTTTTACGTACACTTGTTATTGTTTACGCATTTGGTTCAGTTGGTCCATTTTACTCCAGCCGCATGTGCGCTATTATGAAGGTTATTTAAAAACAATTGTTAAACTTAAAATCAATACTACTTATTATAAAAAATTCAATAACGTACAATTTAAAATTATATAAAAGTCTCGTAAATTGAACAACAAAACAAATAAAAAGAACTTTTTTTATAGATTTTCAAATACTACCGTTTATCTCCTGATAGCAACGATGCTTGATTCAAGGCGATTGTTTATATTACATATCCCTCTGCTTTCAAATATCGTTGAAAAAATTCAATTGTTTCTGAGATATTGTTGGTGGACCTTTATACCCCGGACTTTTGAGCCCCGTTTTACTCCATATATACACTAGTGGGATGTATGGCATCGTGCCTTAAGGCAAATTGCTGGAACTTCCCATACCGTAACGAAATGATCGAGGAATATTAAATGTTTTAAAATAGATTATTATAAATATTGCAACATTGTCTATTTATATTTTTAAGAATTAAATAAACTAAATTAGAAAGTTGAAATTATTTGTTTGAAGTATATTAGAACAGAATTAAAATAAGAATCTGAATTATTTTCGATATACAAACAAAATTTTTTTGGAAAAAAAAATTTTAAAAAAATTTTTGAAGCAAAAAATGTTTTTTCCAGAATCAATTATTTTGTTAAAACAAGCGGAAAGTTATTGGAATCATTCAAATCGGACGTTTAGTTCTCTTATAAACTGTTTTTTTGCACATTTATCTCCAAAACCGCTGAACCTGCCTTTGCCAAAAACTAATCCACAGTTCTCCCCGTCATTACAAATTGAATGTTTTTGGGACCATTCACTCGATTTCTATTTTATGCACTCTTTGCTCCGTATCTCCTAAGCGGCTGGACCTGCTTTTGCCAAAAACTAATCAGCACATCTCCCTATCAATAGGAATCGCATGTTTTTTGAACCATTCAAATCGGTTGATCCGTGCGCCCGAAAACGTGGACGAAAAATTGTAACCATACAAATATACACACTCTCTCTCACACACACATCCCTTTTTCCTGAGGTATGCCAAAATGTTCAGAAACCTTCAAAACGTCGAAAAATGTAAAAAAAATTAATATCGATTTTCGGCCCATTACAATAACTTACCCTACGGAAAGTTAATGAATATTTAGTGTAGTTTCGGATTAATGGTTTTGGATCTCATCGTAGGTTAATTATGTAAAGTTAACTAAGAGTAACTGAATTTATAGAGAAATCAATATTACTAATTATTATTTAACGCAGCCTCAAATCGCAATTGATGCTGATCACATACATAGAAGTGCACTTTGAAACGCCAACGATACCAATTACGTACTTAGAATATGTATTTATCATTTTCAATATATTTTCCAACCATACCTCTAAACTTACAAATTTTTATTTGTAATTAATTATTTTTAGAGTAGTTTTCGACTTTATTGTTGAGCAGTTATATAATTTGAACAAATAATTACAAACAATGGAATTTATAGAATAATCAATGTAAGCAAATATTGCTTAACGTAACTCCAAATCACCACTGATGTCAGTTATCTAGAGTATGCATTTTATCTTTTCAATTTCTTTGATCAAAAGAAAACTTGGTCGTCTTATATTTAAGCAATTTCATTTGTATTTATTATTCGAGTAGTTTTGGACCTCATCGTAGGGCAATTATATAATTTGAACAGTTTACTAAAGAGCAACGGAATTTATAGAGAAACCAACAACACTAATTATTGTTTAACGTCATCTCAAATCGCCTTTCGTGCCAATTATCTTGAAATGCATTTATTATATTTAATATCTTTGCTCAAGAGTTTGGTAGTCGTATATATCGGCAATTTTGTTTATAATTAATTATTGTTAGAGTAGTTTTGAACCTCATCGTACAATTATACAACAGTTAACTAAGGAGTAACGGCATTTGTGAAGAAACCAATATTAGTAACTTTTGTTCAATGTAACCTCAAATCGCCACTGATACCAATTACCTAGAAGTGCACTCTGAAACAATATCGCAATTATAAGTGAACAATTGGCGCTACGAAAAGGTAATACGAATCGTATGAACGATTCGCATCAGTGCAATAGTTGAAATTGAATAGAGCGCAACGTCGGTTTATATTTATTTATTTTGGAATTCACGTTGTGAAGTCTTGATAACTCGCCATCAACTCTTGAAACATCTTCCGCAGCATCCACGTTTCGTCTTTATCGAAAACACACAAACCAGCTATACCGACGTGCAACATGTATTGCACTTGATATTCCAATAACGCAATTCCTTTACAAACGGAACAAGATATTGCCGATATATAATGCCATCTAGAACATGTTTGGCACTGCAAAGTATTATTATTGTAGACGTACAGATACACTCTAGAATGAAGGAATTGTATTACGGGTGGATTATGTTGCTTAATGTACATTGCTACCAAATGACAACGATGTACCGGAGGCCTGTTTTTATGAGACTTAGATAATTGCATGATATTCTTTGGAGCACTTACATGCACTACTGTTGTGTACACTTGGTATTTCAGATTGAGTAACGGAATCAAAAAACTTTAATTTATAATATTATTTTAGTACCAGAGATTGTATTGATGAATCGCAAATTCTAATTTAAATTTTTACAGTTGTATAAAATAAGAAGAAATTTCAGTTGAAACACAAAAGTAAACTTTTACTAATAGTACCAAAGCAAGCAACGTTAAAAAAACAAAAATTTCAACATTATTTAACGCAAAACAAAATCCTAAGGCAAATATTAAACGTTCCTTGCTACGCAAAAAAAACATGATTCATTCCCAAAGTCACAGATATACCTATAATTCAAGAATAAATATCAGTGGTTGCCACCAAATATAAAAACAGAATCGACGTCTACCCTAACGAATTAGGCATTCAAGTCTACCTAGAAGGCCAGACAACAAGACCTAACCCTTTCGACTCGGATGCGGCGGCATGGTCATTTTACAGTTGCGCTCGGATGCCGCCACTCCGGCGGCATGATACGTTTTACCGTTCCACTCGGATTATTTTATATATGTAGATGTTAATAGAGATTTTATTGTATATATTATTTATTTATATA